AAGCACAGGACCCAGGAGGTACAACTGGAGCTCTGCCAGTCTATAGCGAGGCACCTAACTCACTGGTCTATGGTCAGGGCTGTGTACCTGTGGCTCTCACAGAAGTTACCATTTGACTCTCTTTCGTTAAAGCAGACCCAGACAGAGTCAGGACTTAAAGGCCTCTTAAGTTCTAATCTGAACACCTTCCAGGCCCACGTCTCCTTTGGGGCTTTGTCTACACTGCAGGGTTTTTGCGCAAGAAGCTTTTTGGGAAAGAGATCTTCTGCAAAATCGTCTTGCGCAAAAGCACGTCCACACCTCCAAAGCGCTGTGCTTTTGCACAAGAGAGTGTCCATGCTGCATGGACACTCTTGCGCAAGGAAGTTCTGATGGCCATGCACAGAATGGCCATCAGAGCACCTGTGCTTTTTCGGATAGGCTCTTGTAGCGCAAGAAACCCCTGTGGAGCGTCCACACACGCCTTTTTGTGCAAGAACTCTTGCGCACAAAGGTGTTATTCCTCGTAGAAAGCGGTATGCCTGCACCGCAAAAAGCCCTCTGTTCTGCCGTGTTACTGTACCTTTTCTTGCGCAAAAATGCGCTTGAGGTGTGGACGCTCCGCGGGTTTTTGCGCAAAATGGCGGGTTTTGCGCAAAACCCCTGGGCTACGTCTAGACTGGCATGATTTTCTGCAAATGCTTTTCACGGAAAAGTTTTCCATGAAAAGCATTTTCGGAACAGAGCATCTAGATTGGCAGGACGCTTTTCCGCAAAAGCACTTTTTGTGGAAAAGCGTCCGTGGCCAATCTAGACGCACTTTTCCGCAAAAAAGCCCCGATCGCCATTTTCGCAATCAGGGCTTTTTTCCGGAAAACAAATCTGAGCTGTCTACACTGGCCCTTTTGTGCAAAAGTTTTGTGCAAAAGGGACTTTTGCCCGAACAGGAACAGCATAGTATTTCTGCAAAAAGCACTGATTTCTTACAGTAGGAAGTCAATGCTTTTGCGGAAATTCAAGCGGCCAGTGTAGACAGCTGGCCAGTTTTTCTGGAAAAGCAGCTGATTTTCCGGAAAAACTGGCCAATCTAGTCACAGCCCTGTAGTGTAAACATAGCCCAGGCGTGTGGTAGCTCTGCGAACAGGGCGATGGCATAACTGAATCCTAACAGTGTGAACAAGTTTCCAGCTCTCAATGTCAGCCTTTTCTGAGTCAGCCCGTGACACCTCCCCCCACAAAAAGCTCTTATAATTATTCCCAGCTGTAGGATTCCACCCCAGCTTGCCTCTAGCCAGCTATACCACAAAGAAAATATTCACCACACACTACGGTATGTGAGAGCTGGGCCAAGCAATATCCCCAAACTAGTCGAGCCTGAAGCCAAACCGTTGGTATAGGCCTGGGCCGAATGGATTGAAAAAACGTGCATGGTAGCCGTACGCCGTATATATGTCCCATTGTCCCCCCTTGACCACAAACTATTTTACTTCCCTTTTGCAGCCAATACAGTATGGCCCAGCACACTTCGTCCTATCCCAAATGCCACATGCCAAGAGCAGAAACGCGGAGGGAAGCTGCCCTCCTATGTCCTTTGAGGAACGTGACTGGGAAAATATTGGCCAAGGGGTAGCTGGGAACACTGAAACATTCCCCGAGTGGCACAGAAACCCGCGACCAAGCCTGAGGTAATGGCCAGAGGATGTAAACGGAGCCCTCCAGAGTAGCTGTCATGATGGGACACGGGGATGCGTTCAGACCAACACCAGCCACAAGGCACATCCCCAACGCAGCTTATGAAATCCTGGACTTCGGATGGTTACCAAAGGAATAACAAGCGAGCTCACTGGCCAATTGACATGACTGTGGTGCTGTTGGCTTCAGTGGACTGATGCCAATTTATACCAGCTGAAGAGCTCCTCCGATGTATCTAGAAACCTTCTGTACTGAGAAATGGGGCACAGCAAGGCCTAACAAACAGGACGGATAAATGTAGTAAAGATGGCATCTGTTGTATATTCAGTTGAGGACTTTATTCCCTGATCTGAGGGGAGAAATCCTTGCAGGGCTCAGCATAGTAAAGATGGCATCTGTTGTATATTCAATTGAGGAATTTATTCCCTGATCTGAGTGGGGAAATCCTTGCAGGGCTCAGCACAGGCACGACAGAGTCTAGCCAGGACACCAAAGCCATTAACAGAGAGTTGTCGCTATTTGCATACAGGGGGTAGAAAACACACATCAAATTCCCTAAGACGGGGGATCCCACATGGTCTACTGGCATGGGCCACATCTCCAGAGAGAGATTGTCCTGTGGAGGTAGCCTTCTGTTCACTCCCGTAGGCAACCGGGTAATATCCAGGCACAACAGTGATTTAGGGCTAATGGCCAGTGGTTATTAGGGTTGTGGTTTTAGTTGTCTCTTGGTGCAACGTGGCACATGTTGTTCCTCGACTGTGGAGGATTTGCGTTGAGCAGGTTGATCCGTAAATCCACTGCTCACCACAGTTTAGGAACCACTGCCATTAACTTTAAAAACAAGTAGGCCTGGGGATCTTTAGGGCGCGTCTTCATAGCACCGGAACTTGACATAAGATGCGCAATTTGAGCTATGCAAATCGCATATCTTATTTCAATGCTATTTTGAAATAGCTTATTTCATCATTTGGCGCTGTCTATATAGTACCAAATTTTGAAATAAAGCACTATTCTGAAACATCTCATACTCCTCGTAGAAGGAGGAGGGACATCGGAATAGTGAGCCTGAAATAATGGGCTTGCTGCGAGGATGTTGAGTAGCTATTTCGGGATACTCCAGTATCCTGAAATAGCATTGCAGTATAGACGTACTCTTAGGGTACGTCTAGACTACATGGCTCTGTCAACGGAGCCATGTAAAATAGTTTCCTCGGCATAGTCAATGAAGTGGTGATTTAAATAATCCCCGCTTCATTAAAATAAAAATGGCCACCACACTGTGCTGACAGTCAGCTGATCCGGCACACCATGGCAGTCTAGATGCGGTGCGGTCGACAAGGGAAGCGTTTGTCGACTGCTCTGGTAAACTTCGTTTCACCAGGCATACCAGAACGGTCGACAAAGGCTTCCCTTGTTGACCGCGCCATGTCTAGACTGCCACGCTGTGCCAGATCAGCTGATTGTTGGCACAGCGCGGCCGCCATTTTTATTTTACAGAACATAAGAACAGAAGAACGTCCGTACTGGGTCAGACCAAAGGTCCATCTAGCCCAGTATCCTGTCTGCCAACAGTGGCCAGCACCAGGTGCCCCAGAGAGGGTGGACCGAAGACAATGATCAAGCGATTTGTCTCCTGCCATCCCTCTCCAGCCTCCGACAAACAGAGGCCAAAGACACCATTTTATCCCCTGGCTAATAGCCTTTTATGGACCTAACCTCCATGAAATTATCTAGCTTCTCTTTAAACTCTATTATAGTCCTAGCCTTCACAGCCTCCTCTGGCAAGGAGTTCCACAGGTTGACTACACGCTGTGTGAAGAAGAACTTTCTTTTATTAGTTTTAAACCTGCTCCCCATTAATTTCATTTGGTGTCCTCTAGTTCTTCTATTTAGGGAACTAATAAATAACTTTTCTTTATCGGCCCTCTCCACACCACTCATGATTTTATAGACCTCTATCATATCCCCCCTCAGTCTCCTCTTCTCTAAACTGAAAAGTACCAGTCGCTTTAACCTCTCCTCATATGGGACCCGTTCCAAATCCCCGCTTCATTGACTATGCCGAGTAAACTATTTTACATGGCTCCGTTGACGGAGTCATGTAGTGTAGATGTAGCCTTAGAGACTAACAAGACACATAGATAGATAAGATAGTTATGAAAGCTCATGATCACATATATATACGTCATGCTGGACAAAGTGAAAGTGGGAGATGACTGTAATTTTCTCATTCTGCCTGTCTTGCAGAGAGCAGCAGAATTCTGCCTCCATCTATCTCTGGTGTGTTTGTGACTCACGAGACGAAACCGCTCTCTGGTGAGTTCCGAGTCCCCGGGAAAAAAAAATATGAATTGTCATGATTATGAGGGTTAGCCAGCAGCCTGGGGATTAAGGGGTTAACTACACCTAGCCAGGTGGAGTGACCAATAGGAATGTAAGTGGGACTTTTCAAACTGGGACAAAGGAATTTGGGTTTTTTTCCTTTCTCCCTTTTGTCTCTTGGAGAGTTCTCTGCAGCTACAGAGAGGGACAAGCATGTCTCTCTCTCTCCCCAAGACACCATTCTTCATTTTCTGTAAGTAGGGTAAAGTTTAGGTAGTTTCGTTAGGTTTTATTGTTTTAAGGATTGGGTATGGGAGCTGAGATCTGGTACTACTTAAAAGATGTTTTGGCTTTTCTTTGTAACTAAGTTCTAGGCCCATGGAGTTTCTCCATGAGTATATTTTGTTACCTTCCTCTCTAGTCATTATACTTGCAACCAGAATATTGTTGTAATAATAAAAGTTCTTTCTTTTCTTTTTATTAACCTGGCAGTGGTTAATGGTGTGCCCTGATTTTTGTTTTAGGGGTAAGATTTCCCAAATTATCTTTCCCCTGATTTCTTTATCAACATTTGGGTGGTGGCAGCGGAAGTTTTATTCCCAAGATCTAGGGTTTTAAGATCTTGGGGGGAAGTTTTATACCAAAGCCTGGTAGATAAGGCTTTGGGGTACACTTGCTGGCCCCCACTTCTGCATTTATGATGCCAGAGTGGGGAAGGAGCCATGACATGAATGATCATGAGCTTTCATGGGCAAAACCCATTTCTTCAGATGAGTTTGAGTGGGGGGAAAAGGGAGAACCTTACAATTTGTAACAGAAAATGAAGGGAGAGGGGGGAGAATTAACTGTCAATTGTAGTGCCTTTACTAATGAAGCTAATTGAGTGAACCAGTCCCATACTTAGCTTTTGATGTCAATGAGGTGTGAAATGTAAGGAAGGCTGGTTTTATAATTGGTCATCCAGTTAATGTCTTTGTTCAGGCCCAGGGAAACAGTGTCAATTTTGCACGTGAAGGTCAATTCTGCACTCTCTCTCCATGTAGTTGGCTGGTGACATTCCTTGGTAGAAGAATGGCTACTTGTAAATCCACGATTGAGTGTCCATGCAGGTTACAATGTTCCCTACAGGTTTGTGTGTGTTACCGTTCCTGTCTGACTTGTGTCCATTTTTCCTTTGTCACAGAGACTGTTCAGTTTGGCCAGTATACAGGCCATAAACTTTATTCTGCTAGGAAAATAATTCCATGCAGGACAGCTCCAAAGTCCTGATCCTACAGCTGTACCGATTCCCTAACTGCCTGGCAATGGCGTGATTGCTGCTTGCAGACCATCACATTTCCCTGAAACGTTTTAAAATCCATCCAGACTCTTCTACTTATTTAAACCCTTGCTCTGTGTTCCAGTGGAACCTCAACAGATTCAGATGCTGCTGGCTTTCCATGATGTCATGCTGGACACAGTGAAAGTGGGAGATGACTGTAATTTTCTCATTCTGCCTGTCTTGCAGAGAGCGGCAGAATTCTGCCTCCATCTGTCTCTGGCGTGTTTGTGACTCACCAGACAAAACCGCTCTCTGGTGAGTTCCGAGTCCCCGGAAAAAGTGATCATGCAGTCCCCAAACCGCTTAAGAGTGAAACCTTAATGTTGTACATGGCCAAAGATCACATATTGCTGACAGCCTTATCTGATTAGATGAACTCAGTAGCAACCAAGTCATATTTGCACAAGCCCTTATCACAGGAAATCTTTTGTGTCCGGAATCATGAAGTTGTTTGTCTTATTTACAAGGAAATGCGGTTCCCTTTAGAGTCAAGACATATGACACTGTGGCAAAGCCTCTGCCCAGGGCTGAAAAGACTCGGGGATGTCTCCCTAAGCCAGGGGCGAGGAACCTTTTTTTGGGTCAGGGCCACTGACCCACAAAGAAATCAGTCGGGGGCTGTACAAAAGTGAGACGAAAAACACACCCCCACATTCCCACATTACCCTGTGTTCTGAGGTGGGGCCAGAAAGGAGGAATTCAGGGTGTGAGGGGGAAGGGGGGGAGGCTGTAAGGAAGCAGGCTTGGGGTGTAGGGTCTGGGTGGGAGGGAGGGTGCAGGAGTAGGCTGGGGGGGTTGGGGGTCTGGGAGGAGGGTAGGGTGCAGCAACGGGCTGGAGGAGGGAGGGCAGAGCAGGGTGCAGGAGTGGAGTGGAGGTGTGGGGTGTGTGAGGGGGGCCACAGAGCTGGAGCACCAGCTCCCCAATGCTGGGGGGTGGAGGGAGTCCCAAGCCTCAGGGGTGAGATCCAGGCAAGCTGGGGGCCGAATCCGGCCCCAGGGCCGTACGTTCCCCACCTCTGCAAGCGTTGCTAGGGCTTGGCCTTCAGAACAGCGGCACCGTGGTAACGGGGGAGGCCGACGAAATGCCCAAGTTAACCAGAGCCGGGGAGCTCTCCCTCCATTGCTGTGCACAAACCTGCCGTCTGATGCCTGCACGTGCGTCTCGTAGCAGGCCTTGTCCCAGAGGGGCACTGGCCCTCCAGGAGGGAGCCGAGTCAGCCCAGCTGTGCCTGGCCAGCTGCAAAGAGGGCAGCTGGGCTTAGAGCAGGAGTTGGTAAAGGGGGGGAAGGGAGATTGGATGAGTCAGGCTGGGAGCCAGGCCGGCAGAGGGAAGAGAGTCCCGCAGAGCTAGGATGCGAGGGGGGGCAGGAACAGCGGGGCAGCCAGAGTCCCGGGGAGGGGAGGCGGAAGGAACCTGAGCACTAACGGGGAAAGGCCCGGGGGAGCTGTAGCTGGGGGAGCTGAGGAAAACTGTGTGCTGAAATTGGGACATCGGCAATGCTTGTGGGTGAGGGCGTGAGTCCCGAGCAAGCTGGGAACCCCCCCACATCCCTGAGGCCTGCGACCGCTGGAGCAAAAGTGACTGAGGGTAAGTGCCAGGCGCTTTCTGATCGTGGTCAGATTACAAGACAGGAAACCCGGCAGCTGAGCAGCAGGAAAGGCAAGACAAGGCAGGGTGGAGATCTGTGGTGAACATCGGAAGGCAACAAGCATCTTCCAGAGATCTAAGATTGTGTTATGCAAAGTGAGACTGTGATACCCGACCACTGCCAGCGCGTGCACGTCCTCGTTCTGGCCAACCCGTGCTCCATTGATAGGGTTGCCAGATGTCCGGTTTTCACCCAGACAGTCCAGTATTTGTGGCCCCTATCCAGATGGAAGGGACACTTTTCCCCTGCCGTGCCTGGTGGGGATGAGGAGAGCAGGGGGAGCGGGGATTTAAAGGCGCAGTGACTTTTTTTTTTTTTGCTCAACCAATTTTTTCCTCCCGCCATGTTCAGGATTTTTTGTGAAAGTCTCTGGCTACCCTATCCATCAGGCTGGTCTTTCCTCAGGCTGGCCGAGGGGTGGGTGCATGGCAACTGTTTGAAAGGAGAATCTAGTCTGAGCTAAACACCTCGGCAACAAGCCAAAGGAAGGAAGGAAAGCATGAGCGGTGGGTGAAGGCCCAGTTGGGGTAGGCAGGCCCAAGCCTTCTACTCAAAGCCACAATCCTTCCCGGAGACCATGCCCCTTCAGCAACCTCCCCTCCAGCCAAGCCGCGCCCAATCCCAGTTCTCAAGCCCGATCCTTCCTGGCCACCTGGAGGACCAGGTCTGAGCCCTCCCAGGCAGCCGGGCAGTATAGGTAGTTTTGGGAAGGCAATGCCTTCCTTTGCCTGCATCAGCCGCTGCCCATGGAGGAAAGGAATTGTTTCAGCATGTACCCGCAGGTTGAAAAAACAGTGTCTGCTTTTGGGGGAGATCCCAAACCTGTTAAGAGTCAGTTGGTGCCTTTCCATTAGGTTTGGCCTTGTGCACTGAGCAAATATGCATTTTCCCCCCTGGTGCCCTGGCAGCTCCGTGCCACGTTCCTGACTAGATCTTTGGAGCAAATGCAAAGAATCTGTCCCCAAAGAAGCCCTCGGGTTTTCCATGCTGGGGATTTGAGAGTTCTGCTGTGTAGTGTGACTCCTTGGCGGCCCAGACGTGAGTGGTTCAGCTGGTAAGTGAGTGTCGGGGTATCCCTCCAAAGGGGAACCTAAGACACCACCTGAGACGTCCGCACACGCAGAGTTTGCTTACCAAGCAAAGTGCAGCCACCAATGTGCACCCAACATTGTAAAATCCTACATCCACTGCTGTTTGTAGTAGGGGCAGCAGTTCAGATCTGCAAAGGCTGGCGGCATATTGGGGTGCATTAGGGGGAACATTGCCAGCAGATCTAGGGAAGTGATTATTCCCCTTTATTCAGCTCTGGTGAGGCCACATCTGGAATATTTCATCCAGTTCGCTCCACCCTCCCCTCCCCCCCATTTCAGAAAAGATATGGACATATTAGAGAAAGTCCAGCAGAGGGCAACAAAAATGAGGAGGAGTCTGGAGCACATGACTTATGGGGAGAGGCTGAAGGATTTGGGCTTATTTAGTCTGCAAAAGAGTGAGGGGGGGATTTGGTAGCAGCCTTCAACTTCCTGAAAGGGGGTTGCAAAGAGGATGGAGAGAGGCTGTTCTCAGTGGTGACGGATGGCAGAACGAGGAGCAATGGTCTCAAGTTGCATTGGGGGAGGCTTAGGTTGAATATTGGGGGAAACTATTTCCCTAGGAGGGTGGGGAAGCACTGGGATGAGTCCCTTAGGGAGGGGGTAGAATCTCCATCCCGAGAGGTTTTTAAGTCCTGGCTTGGCAAAGTCCTAGCTGGGATGATTTAGTTGGGGTTGGTCCTGCTTTGGGCAGGGGGCTGGACTTGATGATTCCTGAGGTCTCTTCCCACCCTAGGATTCTAGGATTCTCTTAAAGGGATTCAGGCACCTTCCTCCTATTGACCCCAATGGGAGTTAGGCACCTGCCTAGCTCCTATTTTTGCTACATGTGTATGCTGAGCAGAGACTAGCTCGGGAGGAATTTGTCCATTTCTGTTTCTCATTCCCTGCTTGAAATCATCAGGTCTGATTCTCCGTCCTGTGATTTGCATGTGAAAGTAGGATCAGAAGGAATGCATCCCTTACAGCCAGCTGGCCTGGGAGAGAAACCCTGGGTGTGTCTATGTAAATACAGTTTGTTCCTGCTTTGCTTAGATGTATTAGATATTCAGCTGATGGAGCGATGTTTTGGCCATTGTAATCAATTTGATTTATGACCCCACACCAGCTATGTTTGTATTCAGTGCTGGGATCACTAAAATATGGTGACCAATGTTGCAGGGTGGCAACAGAGGGGTGCAGCAAGCAGCCAGCAGGGCGGCGACAGAGAGGGGCGGCAAGCAGCCAGCAGGGCGGCGACAGAGAGCAGTGAGCAGCCAGCAGGGCGGCGATAGAGGGGTGCGGCAAGCAGCCAGCAGGGCGGCGACAGAGAGCAGTGAGCAGCCAGCAGGGCGGCGACAGAGAGCAGTGAGCAGCCAGCAGGGCGGCGACAGAGAGCAGTGAGCAGCCAGCAGGGCGGCGACAGAGAGCAGTGAGCAGCCAGCAGGGCGGCGACAGAGAGCAGTGAGCAGCCAGCAGGGCGGCGACAGAGAGCAGTGAGCAGCCAGCAGGGCGGCGACAGAGAGCAGTGAGCAGCCAGCAGGGCGGCGACAGAGAGCAGTGAGCAGCCAGCAGGGCGGCGACAGAGAGCAGTGAGCAGCCAGCAGGGCGGCGACAGAGAGCAGTGAGCAGCCAGCAGGGCGGCGACAGAGAGATGCAGCAAGCAGCCAGCAGGGCGGTGACAGTGAGGTGCGGCAAGCAGCTGGATGGCAAA